TTCCCTAGCAGTTTCCCCTCTTTCGGAGCAGGGCACCTCAGTGCTCTGCGACAACCTGTTCATTAGTTGGTCTGTTAAGATCCAGTGTACTTAAGTCTGGGTCTGGATAATAGGTTTAATAACTGGTACTGATTTGGGAAATAGGCCTATCCACTGTAAATATGATCCTTTGTCTACCCATAATGGAAGTATCCCTTGTTTCTACATGCTTGTTGTCAGTAAATAGAGATCCTTCCACATAGTTAAAAATGTTAAAAGTTGTCAAGAAAGGCCTAAAAATAACCTCTTCCTTCCAACCCACTACCTACCTCATTACTAGTCCAATGGTGCAATTTAGATCATTTGAGACAGAGGAAAAACAATCAATGGAAAAAAAAACTTATTTTTCTACCACATCATCAACAATAGGTACTGTAAGAAAAGGAAATTTTAACACAGACTTATCAAATCCACTACTTTCCCTTACCCTTGATTCTAATTTAAATAGGAGTTTTAATTCACTGCCTGGCTCTATCCTCCCAGGAGAAGACCTGGATGCATAAAACAACCCTACAACAGAAAAACAAAAGTGATCAAATCCCCAAAGGCTATCAAACATAAATGTATTCTTTTATTTGCTTTAGGTTGTTCTTAATGGAAAGCTGTTCACATATGTACAATATGCAAAACTAGAAGCTTTCTAAAATCCTCACCAAAATATATAATGAGAGATATTTACTTGCCTTGGTGCCTCTTCCACAACTTTTTGATTTCTTCTTTGAATGGAACACTCTCTCTCATTCAGCCACAACGCATTGCCATGCTTATCTCCCAAAACCTAGAAAAAATGTTGTTATTAACAAACAAGAGCAAACATCTGGCCTTTGACATTCTGCAATAGGAGTACTAGGGACAAGCAACCTACTTTGAAGACACAGTTTGATGAGTTCATGAAAGGGGTTGTATGATGGGACTGCCCGAGACAGAAGGGAACTGGACATGGTGACCAAGAGGTTCCCTTGAGTCATTTGTTCTTAAATGCCCATATTTGCCTAAATGTTTCCCCAGTCTTCTCCTCCCACATCCAACTTTGTACCTTCTTTCATGCTGCTTCCTATCCTTAGGGCATTTTCATTTACAATATCTGCTTCCTCATCTTATGAGTCTCTCCATATAACCTCTTTTGTCTATGCCAATTCTAATGTCTTATCCTTTAAAAATGAAGTACTCCAATGAAAAATGACTAGATAAAAATAGAATCACGATACTCATACACCTGTACCTGGTGTGAATGCAGTTGGTACACCATATTCAGTGATAAGAAGTTTTATTATTTTTGTGCTTTTCAGCGCCACAAAATAAGTACAGCTGAGTGCACTTTGCTCATATGCCAACAAAATAATTATAAAGAAAAGGGGGAATAATCCAGGTAGATGAAACAAAACTCTCTGAGGTTTGACTTCAGTAAGACTTCTTATGTGCAAAAAAGTTAATCACAGGCTAAACTGTGATAATGGATAAGAATCAGGATACCCAGCACCTTCCAGGAACTCCAGTGAGAGTTCCCACTCCTACTCACAGCTTATCCAGTTCAGGACAGCAGCACCTGAACTCTAGAAATTCCCATGGAGACTTCTTTAACAGAAGAATAGAGTTGGCATTAAAAATGTTTACATTATTATACAGGACTCAAAAGTAGAGTAGTTTTGCTCTGGTGGTATCTCTCTTCTGAAATCAGTGAATACTGCTTTTTCTTTGCTTTTGTGACCAGTCCCATCTCAGACCCTCTCATCAAGGCTGGCCAAAAATAATCCACTGGAGCTTTTTTGGCAGAAACTGTTTTCAATTAAACAAACTTTTTTTCCTGAAAAGTGTGGGCTCACAGTGGAATTTCAACTTTTCATTTGACAAAAAAGAAAGCAGAAATTGCCAATGGAAATTACAACAAAGAAGCGGTAGAGGGTTGTTCCCACCCATTTATCAAAACTTTCCATGAGGAAAAACAAAAAATTTTCATTGTTTTCAACTGTATGTTCTTATAGCAAAATCACTGCATTCTTGCCTTTCTTCTCCCCAGTTTTGAAACACATGCAACCTCTAGGGAAGTTGTTTATAATACTTCTCATGTTTGCAGTCTGTATCTTATAACTGCCATTGTGCTTTTATCCACAACTGCAGATATTAATGTTTAATACCTGCATTCAAGACACAGCTCTTAACCATCAGGCTTAATAGTGTAAGCAAGGAACATCCAAAGCTGGCCCTTTAATTCTATCCAGAAGCCGAACAAAACTGAAAAAAGTAATTGTTTTCAGAATGCATTTACCAAAGAAATAATGATCTTTCATTTCTAGTGGGATGAATCAAAACGCACCTCTTTAATTAAAAAATATGTGTTCCACCTATAGCATTTTTTCCTCAGTGGTAATAAAAGGAAGATATTTATCAAACTATTACCAAAGAATAGTCTTTTTTGTGAGACTGCAAGATTTGTTTCTTACTGGTATTTGAATTTGCAGACTCCCTTTTACACTAAATAATAAAATATAATTTATTGTGCTTTCTTCCCCTTTTTTTTGGATTTAGCCAAACACAATTTCCAGTGACAGTATTTGGTATTTGGCCAAATACTTTTATAATTAGACACTCAGTTTAACCTTACTTTAAACTCAGGTCCTTCATGTCAGATATTCTGGGAGAACAAGATGCCCAGATCAATGCAAGCTATAAAGTCTATTTGGACTCTTTTTTCCTGTTAATTGTTTTAGCCTTTTCTTATGTTTTACAAAGTGATTGTTTTATAGGTAGACACAGGAAACTCCTTACTTACATTTTTAAGTAACCAGAGTCTTGGAGCTGTGAGAGAATGTTAAAAAAAAAAGTTCTGTTTAAAACTTACTGTTAAATTAACAAATATTTGGCATTTGGTCCCAAATTGTTTATACATTAAATAGTTTGAAAATAAATCGAAGTCAATGTCCCACACTGGTTTAGAACATTAAGTTTAAATTGTGTATATATCTTTAATATACCTTTACAAGATCAAAATACATGCAACAAAAACAAGATTAATCATTACCTGTGTTATAAATAAAATGATCAAGTATTAAAATCAATGGTGTTTGTTTAATATTTGTATAATTCTTCTATTTATGGAGGCACATTGTCCTTAAAAGTGATACTGCTAATGTTTTTGAAAGATAAAAGTACTTTAATAAGATATAAATAAAGATGGATAGCAACATTGGCTCTAATTCACTAAAAAACTGAAGCATTTAATTCAGTCAATCCCTATTTCGGAAGATTTCTTTAATTGCAAGCTTTTGGGCACAAACACCCTTCATCAGGCATTGGAGAAAAGATTGTAAAAGTTCTCCTGGGTAGAAATTCATTTGTTCCCAGGAGAACTTTTACCATCTTTTCTCCAATGCCTGATGAAGGGTGTTTGCGCCCAAAAGCTTGCAATTAAAGAAATTTTTTTGCAAAAATCTTGTTGGTCTAATAAAAGATATCATTTCTACTACGGGTCATGATTGTTTTTTCCACTGGGCCAATATGGCTACAACCTGGATACCTATTTAGGAAAGCACTTACACATACATTTAAAGTTACGCATGTGCATGCCTATTGACACCAAGAGCATTCTAGGATTGGCTTCTCAAAAATATCAACTGAATTTCTTATTCCATTTTCAGTCTTCTTAAAACTGCCTTGTTTCCCACTTGTGGTGGTAGTTTCTGGGTTTTATGGACATAATGAAACTGACTACATATGTTCATATGCACAAGTTTTGCATCTATTCCCCTGGGAGCAGAATCGAGCCTTAAATTGCTTCTATAAGCATACAAAGGGAAAAAATAAGGATGAATAGTTAAACTCTTTGCGTGCTTTTTGTTCATTTGGGGGAAAGAAGATGTATGTAAATTGGGGGTATGGAGGTATTTTTTTAATAACATATAAAATCTGACAGTCACTATTACTCTGTTAAGAAACTGCTTACTTTAAGACCCTGATCTTTCCAATATTCATGTATGTGCCTAATTTTAAGCATCTGAAGAATCCCACTAATGCCAATGGGACTTCTCACATGTTTAAAATAAAGCAACATGCATGAGAATCTGTAGGATCTGAATCTAGAATGAAACATTACTACATAAAGAGCATTTACCTTCATCTAGACTCTTTTATAGTTTTTTAATCTTTAAAAACCTAGCAAGATACCCAATAGCTGAAGTTTTACTATTTTTTTCCTTTTTTTAATCATTTTGGAAACAGAAGAGATGGTATATGATATCAAAGAGAAGAAACAGTGGTTTACAGTTTCAAAAAAGTGCTCACTTAAAGACATATTAAAAGGACCCTATTTCCAGAGGCCTGATAACAGCACTTTAGGAAAAATCAAGCCACTTTCAAGTCCATCAAGCTGAGCACCACAAAAAAGACGGTCAAAATGACTGGTTACTTTTGAAAACTAAGGTATGAATTCCTAGTTGTTTGACCTCTGTAGTGAATTAAGATATAGACTGAAACTTACTGGTTTAGTACACACCTATCCCCAGTCAGTCAAAAGTTAAGGTTTAACATTCACCCCTAGCAAAATGATGGACTTTTCAGAGCCCTGGGCTGGAACAACCCAACTCAGGTATCAGGCAGGCTGGTGTTCCAATGAAGCCACTGCCACAACAGCACCAGTGGCTTTTCCCCATCACTACTTCTCCCCGTCCCCTAGCTGCAGGATGGGCACAGCTCTTTGCAGGCTGGCCCCAGGTTCTCTCCTCAGTGTTTGGCTCCAGCCTAGGTGCAGGCAAAGCTTCCCACAGCCAAAATGCCACCAAAACCCCCAGCTCTGTGGACCGGATATTCAGCAGATAAGTTGTTGCCACCGACCCCTGCCCTAGCAAATATATTTGCCCACTTCCCTGATACTACAGTAAATCTGTGGTTAGGCAGAAGTTTTAAATGAAAAAAAAAATCATAATCAGGTCACATCATGCATGTGACTGGACATATTCAGCTGTGTCAAAGGGGCTGAATATTGTTCTCTTACCAAGCACTCCGCATAATCAGCAGGATCTTTTGGTTTCTTATATTAAGTATTGAGCTGCTGTCAGAGTATCTCAATCTCTCCCTAAAAAAAATCATGTGGCAAATTATAAAGAATTTGTATTTTGGACTGGAAAAATAAGTGAAACTTCTGTTAAGGAGACTGACATGCTCATTATAGATTTCTTGTCAGAAAAGATTAAGTCAGGGTTACTTGTACCCACAGTTAATTCCTTCAAGTATGACATGAAAAAATATACTCAAAATATTAAAAAGGCAAGCCTCTCTAACAAAACCTTTTTCTTTGTGAAACAGATGTTGTTTGGCATCAGTAGTTTTATTTTGGTTTATAGGATGTCTAGTGATACAACACATTGGAAAAACATGTCAAGTAAATGATTTCCTAGGTCTAAAAGCACTTGCTTGGGCCCTTAGAGGGTTAGAACTTTGATTTTTCAAAATTCTAACATAAAAAGTCTCAATTAAAAATTAGTAATAGTGAAACATCTTTATATTCTTTTGCTTAGAGTATTAAGCAACCTAACAGAAACTTATTCAGTTTTGGTTTGGGTTGTGCACAAAACTCTGATTTGATTCTGTAAACCATGTATTCTGTGCCCAGTATTTTGTCAGCTGAAATAATAAATCCACATACAAATTATTTAATTCCAGGAACATTTTATAAATTAATCCAAAAAGAGGCATGATGTGATACCTACTCTTCCCCTGTACATAGTTAGAGGAATATTCTAGGGCATTATTTTACATGGATATGATTTTGTTCCCATATCAAATTGATTGCAATATAAACAAACCCTGTGAGAACAATCACTTTACTTTCCTTTATAGAAATAAATACATAAGACTACATTAAAATGTAAAGAAATTCCCTGAAGAAAATCTAAAGGTCATTGTTTTTTAAAAAGAACTTTACTATGAAAATGTAAATAAATGTAGAAGTTTCTCAAACTGTGTAAGATCTGTACCTTATCTTTTTAGTTTTAATTCATTCTACATATGTATCTGATACTACTAACATAATATAAATCAAGGACTGGGAAGTTTACACAGTGAAGGCCAATAAAATTCTTTAATATACATAAAACTATACTTTTTAGTACAATATTCAAGCATCATAAAAGTGCTGATATAGTTGTGACTGGGCCTCCAGTCTTAAAAGCTCTGTTCTTAATCATCCGAAACTTTTTTTATATATTTTTTTTGTTCTTGTATAAGTGCCAAAGGAAACTGTTTTGGAAAAAGTTGTAATGCTGTTACTCTGGAGGAGAGAGAGACAGGGGATTTTTTTGTTTTATTTTTTATTGAACACTAAAATTGTTTTCTCTTAGTTAAGACATAATTCCTTGTTTGTGTATTACATCTAAATCACAGATTTTGTTTTAAAGTTTCAGATTCAGTGAAGTGCTTTAAGAAGATTCGTAACTCTCATATGAATAAAACTTGTATTCAACTTTGTAAGGAACTGCATATAATACTCATAGCATTCATCCAAGTATCTCCATTTGCTTCAAGGGAGCTATACCAATTTATACCAGCTGGGGAACTGGCCCAAGATCAGAATTAATCTTCTTTAACAACTAAGCTACCCAGGTAAAATGATACTTCTGTACACTGTGAGTAATGAGCCTACACATAACTCATATCTTAAATGGTGCAACTGATCTCAAAGCGAAGATAAGCACATTGTTTAATTATACACCTCAGACATTACAACACAAGCGAGACCCTCATTTAGCTTTTCTATGTTGGTTTCTTCCTAATGTATCTAAAGGAAGCAAGCAACCCCTCTCTAGCCAAACAAGAAAAGGTTAACTGAGCTCTGAAAGAAGTCTGGTCTAACCCACCTTAGCATGAAAAATGCTCCAACAGTGTGATGTGAACAGGAAAACGGAGAAAAATTAGAGGCAAATAGGTTTTTAAGGTTCAGACAGATAACAGGAACACAGATTTTTCCTGACCTCCTTGAAGGCAATGGGTGACAAACAAATGAATAATTTGTGAAAATGCAAAAAGCTTTCTTAAGTACGGTAAATAACCATATTGGGGTAGATAACCCCAAGCTAATATATAGATGAGTAAACGATAGATAAATATATGGATGGATAGATGCCCACGTCTGGCCCTCTCTATCAGAAGAGGGGCCAGGCTTACGTGCCTCTTTTAACCAAATTTTCACTCAGCCAGGTGGAAGATTATGGTATGAGGGATATACTATTGTAATACTGCCAGAGGAGGCAGCTAAAAAGATGCAGTTGAATAGCACATATCACAGCCACCTTAGACACAAACTCCCTCCAGCATCTGGACTCTCCAATTTTAGGTTTAGAATAGACTCCCACAGATTTCTTACCACCCACCAACAGGCTGCCTATCACAAGGAGCATTATTACCTGGGGCATCCACCAGAATCTATTTTAACATGTTGCTTGAGAAAACAACTAAAATCTAAGCCACAGTCTCCGAGTCCCCTGGCAGATATTAATTTAAACACACGATGGGATCTGTGGAATTTTATCCAGATCCCAAAAACTGTGTTCTGTGCCATACCAGACATTCAAGATCCAGGACCTTTAAAGCCACACCATGAGGCCCAATGTCAGGGATGGGTCGCAGCCAGCTTTAAACTTGCCAATGCTGAACCCAGCTTTAAATGTTACCAGAGGTCCCCCCTGCAATGGAAAATTAAAACCAACTGTTCAGCCCAGCACTGGGTCTGTCTGATCTCGCTTTAAATGTCCTCCTGTAGGAGGTGGGGGAGGAAGGTGAGAGGGGCTGATGGGCTCCTTCCATACCAGCAAGCTTAAAGCCCGTCTTGTCAGTCATGGATTGGGTTTTAATATGCTACACTATCACATTAAAGCACCATCCAAACCAGCCACAAAGAGCATCTAGGTAGAACATGTGGCATGTTACAGCTCATCACGTGATTAACATGTTAAACCATCCAATAAATATAATGTCTGCCAGGCACCTTAGAAATAGAACAGAGTTTGATATCCCTAACATCCTTACAGTTGTAACAAATATGAACGTGCTTATAGTCATAATGCATGTTTAGTCACACTAGAACCCCAAAAGGTTCAATCATTTCAGGTCTTACCCACAAAAGCAGAACAAACCTGGATTTCTATGTGGCGAGGGTTATCAATGAACTTTTCTATCAACAGTCGATCATCACCAAAACTTGAAGCTGCTTCTTGAGAAGAAAACCTAAAACCTTCCCTTGAAAAAAGAAACAAAGAAAAAATAGGTTGGCAAAAACGGAAATTAAGTCTGCTAGGACCTGAATCACTGGGAGTTTTGCTATTCACTTATATTATACTATCAGTGTAAGCATTTTTGTGTCTCAACATAAATGCTAATTTCACAAAGCATGAATTAATTCCTGTAACAAACAGATTTTACTTTTGTGTTTTTTCTTGAAAAGGCGGATGAAAAGTAAAAAAAAAAAAATCAATAAAGGGAACTCCAGACGCATTTAATACATTTCAGAATTTTTCAGACAATTAGACAACGTTGAATAATGACTATTTACATTATTATTCAGTTAAAATAATTCAATAAATTTAAAAAATAACAGTTACAGAACTTTACATTTGGTAACAGTAAATCCCACCACTAATTGTTGTGATTCATAGTATCTCAATAACAGCCAAGGTTAGTTATATATAAAGTAGATTAAAGGACCAATTTCAGGTGCTTTGCTCTGTACCTTGTAAACTCAACAGCTACATACAGCTATACATACTTACAACAGCTTCCAACACAGTACTGTGTTTCTCAAAATATACAACTACACCCATTGCTCTTACATTCATTCCCCCCCTGCCAATCTACATGAGAGCTGGGCCTTACCTTGCACACTCCTTTATCAGATTTTCCCTCTTGCCTCCACATACTCTTTCATAAACAACCATTTGAATTTCATTTTTTTGGTTAATCAGATACCATAAACACTGGTTTTGCTTTCACTGAAAGAACATTTACCACTGTGGGTCATAACTTAAGTCTGTATGGGAAACTTACCACCTCTAGGTTATGGACAGAAATTACACATAAACCAGTATACGTGATCAGAAACTGGTTCAAATCTGTGACACAACGGAAGTTCAGTACATATAAACCTCAGGGTAGCAGGCTAGCCTTGACCCAAACTGTCTGCTCCAGCTGAGCAGGGAAGTGTGCTCTAGCACCCCCCTGGCTTCTGGCCTAAGCCACCGCAGGCATGTGGCTGCATTTCAAGAATCAGAAGTGAATGTCTGTTCACTTGCTTATCAGTTCAATCTGCACTGCAAATCTAAATAGCTTAGACTAAACTGCGAAGATTGAATTGATTCAACCTCAAGCTTTTTAACTGTCTGAACTTAGCCCTAGTGACAGCACCTTGAAGTGCACAGCACTGCTCTGGGCAGGCATCTTTCTAAATAGGAAGCAGGGGTAGCTGCCTGTGTAGAGTGCCTTCAGCAGGCAAATTAGCACAGCTGAGTGACAATGTGCCAACACTCACACAGCCAAGGCTTTTCTGCTTCCATTTAGGAAGAAATTGCCCAAGGAGTACTTAGGAACACCTCAACTAGGGATGCTAACTAAGTACTGGTGCAAATGTAGCCAGGAAGTGGCACTTAAGTTTAAATCAAATTTTCATAAGAAAGATTGCCTATGATGCAGAGGGCCCAACAGGCAGCATGAAGCTTTCTACTATCCCTTCACCTGGCAGAAAATGGTTCTCTACTAGCCCCAAATAGATCAGTAAAGGGGAAAGGTTTGGATAGAACCACAGTATTGTAACCTATGGAAATGTGGTAGTTCTACCAAATGCAGGGGTGCGACATACAAGCAACTCCTGGTATAGTGAAATCTGGAACAGCAGCCATGGAAGGACTATGCTTTAGTATACCCTCGGTTCCTCTCTCAGTTAAGGCTGCTTGGAAATCTTGTGTCCTCCACACCAGTGCCCTGAACAAAACCCACACATCATTTTTTCTGAGTTTGGGATAAATGAATCTGGCCTTGCACTGTGCACAAAAATGAGAATATTTAATATCCTCCTCCTAGATTTCTGGATTTAGCTAATGCTTGCTTTGTAATTTAAGTAGATGTGAATTTGTTTAATGTGCATTTGGCAGTTTCCTTCAGCCAGCCTTTTTATTTGTTTAAGTTAAAACATTAAATTACTTATTCAAGAGAAGGATGGACTTTAGGTGTAGGGTATCCATTCTCCAAAAAGAGTTATGTTCCACCATTCTCCATAAAGAGTTATGTATGACCCAACTAAGGAATAAAAAACATAGATACATACACACATAAACAGATATACCTGCAGTTATTAGAACACGTTTAGAGTTATTTTAACTCTTAAATCAAAGGTTTTGTTTCTTTTAGTAAACATTCTATCAGAAAACATTATACACAATTGATTGACTACTATATTTTTCCTTCACTGAAGCATGTGCTAATTAAAAAATCCAGACTGCAATGCTTGTTAAAAAAAAAAATAAAAAAAAAAATCAATATGCCTAATTACCTAATCTATACATCTGTAAAACCTAAAAATATGTGATTTTCTCAATTAAGTATTCTGATCTTACTGACACAGTTGTATTTGTGTTTGCACCCATGGTGTGATAATATGATAATAAATAAATTTCACTCATTTTAAAAAGTGACTAAAAGACGTTTTCAGATCACATCCACATAAACTAAGCTAGAGTTTGGATGAAAGCCCTTCAAAGAAAAATTGAAGCACACCAGAAAGCATTTGTATTTTAATCATCCCTTTTCTTTGATTCTGTCCTAAACCAGTGATACAGCAAAGCATTGGGAGGTATGGTCTCAGAACCACATCAGAGCGGAGGTTGGCTTGAGATGGCAGAACCGGGAGGTTGCCTTTGCAAACAGAACTGTCCTAGGCTATGAAAAAGGTGCTTCAGTGTGCCCTTTTCACCTACAAAAATTGCCAAGAAATATAACTTTAAATAAATGCACATGGGAATCCTCCAATTCACTGTCGGCTGACTTGTAATGGAATGATACAGGACCACCGTACGCCTTCAGTACGGAGCTGAGCCTCACTACTATTACTCTAGTAAACTGACTAAATGAAACTGGAGACAAATGTGACATTATATTCTTCAATACTAAAATCTAAACTACATGCCAATTAATGAGAAAAAAATTAAAATAATAGCCCTGACATTGTACAGACACTACAAAGAGATTTTCTGTCCAGTTCTGTTTTTTTTGAAAACCTAATCCAAAATCTTAAAAGGAGGTCTAGTTAAAAATAAAAGCCTGGTAATCATTAATACAATGGAATATTTCTAAAATGGCAACTGCTTAATACAGTGCTCTAATAAATTTCTAATGAATGTTAAAATGTTTTTAAAAATCTATATTACAATGAAACAAACACCAAAAATGATGTCTGCTATTTCAGCCTGCTAGCAAATTTATTTTAAATACTTCCATAATTTTTCATGATAGTCATGGCATGTATACTATATCAATCACTTGCTTCATATTTCTATCATTTCCATCAAAGTAATCAAATTATAAAAAGAAAAATAGCTGCATTTATTTTTCCCCTTATAAAAATGGAATTTCATAAATTTTGTTGGCTTTCTCTATTCACTTCTAGTATTTTTTTCCAAATAACTAATATCCAATATAATTTATGATTATGCCTTATTTCAAGGCATTGATTGATCCCTAATTAGTAAGTATCTACCCAAATTGAGGAGGCAAGCAGCCAGTTTCATGGGCAGATCATGGGGCCGGCTTCCACTTTCATAGGCTTACTACGGCAGAAGTCCCCCATGTTTTTGATTGGCCGAGGACCCCTGGTGGCCTTACCCCCCACCGCTGGTTGGCCAAGAGGGCTGTCCATCATGTGGTCCCTCCCCCTCACCACTGATTGGTGAAGGGACAGGTCCACACAGCAAGCATCACCCTCAGCCAATCAGGGGTAGGGGCAGCACCCACCTTGCCTGGTCCCCTTCATGTCAGCAGCTCCTTTCCACTTTACCCCTTCCCATCCAGCAGCCACACGGCTGGGCTGCAGTGGTCATGAAGACTCCCACTCCCACTGGGGACCCAGCATTTTATTTTTAATATTTTTTTTGTCCACAGATTTTGTGAACATTCCCCAATTTCGTAATTTCCATGAAATCACGATTTGAGTAGGTCCCTATTAATTAGATGCAATTTGATATTTTTGGCCAGAATTACAAAATTACAGGATGCAGGGACTGAATAAAAGAAAGCTCCCAATAATACTGTTCGTCATAGTCCTTTCTTCACTGCTATAAAAGGCCCCACTTACACTTAAGGCATGATTAATTGGTTCTTTATGTCTTAAGTGGTTACCTAGCCACATGTTCAATCAATCAATGGCATGATAAAAAGAGGAATAAGCTACAAAGTTATTCCACAAAATACATTAAATAACTTTGTACCTACTTCCTATCACACCATTGATTTAACATGTGGCCAAAGGACCCCTGTGGCTGGGAGCCCCATCACCTGATCAGAGCTTCCAGCTAAGGGTGGGGGAGGGAGCATGTGAACTTGAGCCTGGGAGCTCCCAGCTGATGCTGGCTCCCAGCCATAGAAGCACATACCCCTGCAGCAGGGAGCCCCATCAATTGACATGGCTCCCAGCAGCAGTTAACTCAGCGGCCCAGCCATGGAGGCACTCAAGGTACCCCGCAGCCATGAGATCACAACTGACATGGTGTCCCAGCCACAGGTGTGCTCCAGGTAGGAGGCGACAGACTCTATGGATGGGGAAGAGAGTTATGATGTACCCTAACTTTAGCAAGGCTTTTGACACTGTCTCTGATGATATTCTCATTAATAGACTATGGAAATACAGACTAGATGAAAGTACTGTAAGATGAATACAGAATTGGTTGGATCGTTGCGCTCAACAAGTAGTCATAAATGGCTCAGTCTAGCTGGGAGGAGGTATTAAGTGGAGTTTGAGGTCTCTCCTGGGTCTGGCATTGTTTAACACAGGGGTTTTCAACCTTTCTGAGTCAGTGTACCCCCAACGGCCAGTTGAGAAGGAAGGAATCCCCCGGCGGCCAGTCAACGAGCGGGGTGGGGGGCCCCCCAGCAGCCAATCAGCAACCAGGATGGAGGGGTCCCCCAGCAGCCAGTTGACAAGCAGGGGGGTGGGTTCCTCAGCAGCCGATCGGTGACTGGGAGGTGGGGGTGGTCTC